GCGAATGCGATGGTACCACTGCCGTAGCTCTAGGACCATTTTTGTCGAAGTTATTTGCGAAAAACTAAAACCACATTTCGGGGTCGTTGACCTGACCTCTGACCTCAGGTCACCAAAACTATTTTTCTATTTTTCTCTAGGTCAAACGCTACACAGCCGTGCTCGTAATTTGTCTTTATCTCTAAAACTCTATTTTTAGCAGCTATTTGAAGTTTGCGTCTGTGACGCTTAAGTTTGCCGTGCAGGGGTCTAGAAAAATGGACCTTGTGACGTCATCAAGGGGGCTAGGTCCAAATTTTTTACTTCAGAAGATGTCAAATTGATGGGAGAAAAGGTACTGAAAGTTTCGCCTTCCTATCCCTAAGCGTTCGGGAGTTATCGGAAATATTCGCCAGGGGGGGCGAAAAACGCCCCCCCCGGGCACGCGAGGGTTAAGGACCCCAAGGGGCCCCTGAACGCCTGACAGGGCCAGGCGCGTAGCCAGGATTTTCCTCAGGGGGGTTAATCAGACCAAAAGGGGCCCATGTGAGCGAAGGGGCCAACATTTTCTTAATTTCATGACGTAGTTATTTGCTTAACTACCTTAACCCGCGCACCGACGGGGGGGCGGATATCCGCCCCCCCTGAGGTTTTTCGCGAATAGCGGGAAAACCACGGCGCGTAGCGCCGCGAAATTTGGTACGACTATTCCCTCATCAATTTTACACATGGTGCGCAAGTTTGAACCTCCTAACTTTTAAGGTCAGGTCACCAGGTCACTTTGAATGACCCAACCTCAAGTCACTTTTTTGCAACTTTGTCACCGTGCCAGAGCTACAGTAGATGTCGGAGGCCTTTGAAAGTCGCAGGATGTTATAAGGTCATTAGTAGCTACAATTTGTTTATCTCGGAATTTTGATATCGGTGACCTAAGGTCAGGTCAATTTCGCGACCTCCCCATTATAAGTCAATGGGGGAAAAATCAACTCCCTATTTTTACCACTAAAACGGGTCGGAATGGCCCCATATACCATACATGACTTCATATACGATCAACCTTCACTACCTTGAGGTCAATTTTGCTGTTGGGCAGCTGTGAGGTCATGTGACGTCATCAAAGGTCACCAAAGGTTTTTGGCCAATAACTCCGTACAGGAACAAGATACAGCCGCGTGGATGGTCTCATTGTGTTCAGCTTGTCAAGACGCATCGAATGATATACATGATGACCTCGAGGTCACGTGACCTGAGGTCAACCTTTGACCTTGACCTTTAGAGGTCAACATATATATCATTCGATGCGGATTGACGAGAGGATCACGATGATGCCCTTAGTTTGCTCCTATCTTGACTAAATCGAAAGTTATTCGAGAAAAACTCTCCATATCCCGGCCGGGCCCGGGGGGTAATCCCAACCACCGCAGCCCGGGGGGGGGGCGTTTTTCGCCCCCCCCCCTGCCTAACTCCGTGAATAAGGGAGCTACGGAAACAAAAGCGATACCAAACGAAAGGTCCTTACGAGACGATTCTAAAGCACCTAAAATTTTGGACCTCAGGTCAATTTTCAAGGTCAGAGGTCAAGGTCAAAGGCAAAAACCGGCACATGTGTAGTGATCTCAAAGTAAGCCTTCTAGAGGACGGCAGGCGGCATCAAACCGGCAAAATTGGGTGTCAAACGAAAGGAGAGAATCTGAGGATTCCGAAAATGTGCTCAAAATAAAAGGTCAAGGTCAAGGTCACGCTCAAAGTTGACCTCAAACTTGGCACTTTTTCGCACATCTTGCGTGCTTACTTTCAAGATGTTTTGAAATGTTTTGAGGCTTATCAGTTCCCTATTTGTGGTTCCTCTTACGATACAAGGCTGCTCAAAGGTCAAGGTCACTGAAGAGTATCCCTGCTAGAGGCTATTTCACTAATTCAAGTTAGTTATAATAAATAAGACAATTTTGCCATCCGGAAGCTCTAAATGAAGGCTGAGAGGAAAATAGATGCCAGATTCGTGATAAGCGGATACAAATCCATCATAAACGACCTTTCATGTGTCAAGGTCAACCAGAGGTCATTCGAGGTCACATGAGGTCAACATAAAATTTGACCTTTTCCGAACAAAATATATATCATTCGACGCGGTTTGACGAGGCGAATGCGATGGTACCACTGCCGTAGCTCTAGGACCATTTTTGTCGAAGTTATTTGCGAAAAACTAAAACCACATTTCGGGGTCGTTGACCTGACCTCTGACCTCAGGTCACCAAAACTATTTTTCTATTTTTCTCTAGGTCAAACGCTACACAACCGTGCCCGTAATTTGTCTTTATCTCTAAAACTCTATTTTTAGCAGCTATTTGAAGTTTGCGTCTGTAACGCCGAAGTTTGCCTGCAGGGGTCTAGAAAAATGGACCTTGTGACGTCATCAAGGGGGCTAGGTTCAAATTTTTTACTTCAGAAGATGTCAAATTGATGGGAGAAAAGGTACTGAAAGTTTCGCTTTCCTATCCCCAAGCGTTCGGGAGCTATCGCAAATATTCGCCAAGGGGGGCGAAAAACGCCCCCCCCCGGGCCCGCGAGGGATATCTAGCGCCGCCATTTTGAATTTTTCGACCCCTGTGACGTCATCTTTGACCTGACCTGAAAATGACCTTTGTAAAAATTGTAGATCTTGACCGTGCGTATCCGATGCCGTTTACCGCTTGTCGCTATCTTGCTTCGTTCTCGAGATCTCAGGGGGGGGCGGTCATCTGCCCCCCCCCCGTCGGTGCGAAGTTGGCGCAGACCCCCGTCGGTGCGCGGGTTAAAATTACGAAGGGCCCCAGCAAACCCAATGGAGAGGGCCCCGAGGGGCCCAGTGGCAAAGCCTCAGGCCCGAAGGGCCCTTTTATAACCAATGAAGAGAGCCCAGAGGGCCCTAGCGGCAAGGTCTCAGGCCCGAAAGGCTCCCGCGAACCCAGTGGAGTGCCCCGAGGGGCCCTTACGCTACTTTTATTGTGCCCCTTACAGTACTTATGACACCACGATGGGGGCCCTTTTGGGCTCCAGGGGGGCATGGCCCCTATGGCCCCTGCCTTGGCTACGCCCCTGGGGTGGGTCCAACGGACCTCCCCCCCCCATTTTACGTTCGCGGCTGGAAAAACACCAATACGGGCGAGGGTTAACCCGCGCCCCACTGGGGGGGGGGGGGGCTATTCATATCCCCCTCTCCCGTTTTTCTGCAAAAACTTCTAAACCACCTGAGGTATCGACGCCAAACATTCAGTACCTTCGGCTGCATCAATTTGACACCTTGAGTCAAAATTTGAATTTCGTAGCTACCATAGGTCGGCCGAAAATGACGTCAGAGTGACGTCATGTTCGGCCGATTTCGACCCAAAACATTGAACCACGGAAATCGCTCCCAAGAGCTCAGTTTTCTAGCTACATCCAATTTCTTTGCATGAAAGCACTCATAATTGACTGCACTATCAAACTGCTATCTGGGATTTTCAAAATTTTGAAAATTTCGAAAATGTTTTATAATAATATTCAAAATTTATATTTTTTTAAATTAAAAAATTGACTTTTCGAAAAAACCGGAATGTATGTGACAGAACGCATGCTTATGACTAACTCTAGCACGTTTTAGCTAAATATCTTCAAAAATGGCCATGTTATACGCATTATTGCAAAAAACACAATTATTAATTTTTAAATCAATTTTTTAGTACGTATTTGACATCGTACACCAATATAAATAGCACCATCGTGTTCCTGAGCTCAAACTGCATCCAATAGACACATTTTTTGTTGAAAAATTTTAACTTCAAAATTTGACCTTTTTTGACCTGGAAGTGACCTGACATAAGCTAAATTCGACTCTAAATGACCTCGAATGAGACAGACGACATCAAATTCGAAATCTATGGCCTAAATGGACCATAAAACATAAGTCACGTGACCGATGCATGATATAATGTTTCCGTGACCTGTGATGACCTGACCCTGACCTGAAAATCAAAGTACAAGTTTGGTACCCTCAAGGTATCTAGAGCGTCTGTTCACGAGTGTGTAAACCAAAAATGAGCCTGATCTGGCTTGTAAGACGGCGGCCAGAGCCCAAAATGTGATCACGCCGAAATGCTGATAATTTTTACTTTGACCTGACCTGTGACGTCATCGGTGACCTCGAGGTCAATGAAATTAGGTTTCGTTCGACAGTTTTTCCCGGGCTATCCGACGCCGTTTGAATTTTGACGATTGGCCCATTAGTTTCGGAGGTAGGAGGGGGGGGGGGCTATGGAGAGCCCCCCCCCCCAGTAGGGCGTGTTATACGCAGACCCCAGTGGGGCGCGGGGTAAACTAGGTGAATGAAATTTAGTCACAAGGTAGTTCTCCGCTGGGGCTATTGAATGTCGTTTGAAATTCGAAAATCGGTCGGTAACTTTCTGAGATATTTGGGAGGGGGGGGGCAAGGGTGGCAGGGTCGGTTGACAGCCATACGGGGGTCGGGTTAACCCCACTCGAGCTCACCATATAACAAAAACAGGCATTTTTGTGGGTGGATAGTGAATCACCGAAAAGGGAATTCTCCCCCCCCCCCCGGGCCAATGAGACATGCGAACTGTGAGCTGTGCATCCTTCACAATCTTAGATCCCGGTGTGGCGGGAAACTCGGCCAATTGGAATGCCCAGATTGGTTGTCATGACAACGGTTGCCTGGCAACGGCTTGTATCGGGGAGCGGAGGGAGGGAGCGGATGGAAATGCCGGCGAAAACGGATTCTTGTGTGTTCATGTGGCATCAACTATAAATAGGTATAGGAAGATGTAAACGTGATTGAGAGCGAAGATCAGAAAGACGGCCTTCAGGAATTTGGGACACAGCTCGGTCACGATACGACATACGTAAACAGTAAAGTAAATACTCGAAAATATTATATAGCTTCATTCATCCCTAGTAATAATAATAAATTAGGTATAGGTGTAAGTTTCATGGAAAATGAGTGACACAATTGTTCTTATCTTAATGTTTTATTGCATTTTGTGTTATTCATTTCTTATTTTTCGCCTTAGATTCTGTTGCCATAGTGACCGCTCGTGCAAGTAGGTACTTTTTGTTACAAAAAAGCAAGACTTATATTTCGTCATGACAGAGGGTAAGCTATCTACATAGGCGTGGAAACCCGCGCAGTGTGGGGGGGCAGTGGGGCAGATTGCCCCCACAATTCTGGGGGCGTGGGGGCGGTGCCGCGGTGTCCCCACAACTTTGAGACGGAATATCGCACTTTGTATGCAAATGTTTTCTTTTTTTGTTGAAAGGGTCAAGGGATGAGAAATAAGTGGCCAAAAAAAACGATGAGAAAACTAGATTTCGGGGTACCCTAGGTTGACCTCTATTATAGTGAGCCCCCCCCCCCCCCAGTCTGAAAGTAGTTCCCGCGCCCCTGGCTATCCAAATGATTCGTATAACCCACACCCCGTGGCCCGTGGGCCGTAGGGCTATCGCCGGACAATGCCACCCGTAGGGGGGGGGGGGGCTGTTTTGCCCCTGAACCCTCGCCAGTCCTATAGGTCCGGCGAGTGTTGGTTTTCTACATTTTCGCTGGCCGAAGGGCCGGTGTTATGCCTACATATTCGCCGGCCGCCGGTGTTACGACCCCCCCCCCCCCCCCGCCGTTTCGACCCTGATAAGCTGATGGAGCTAGAGCGGCGCGGAAAGAACGAACGTGTGCGCCGTTACGAGGCACATCGACTGGAAGGTCTCAGGTGAACCGGGGACCTCTGAGCTCAGGTCAAGTGACCCGGGCACAGGACCAGTTTTTCGTTAACAACTTCGAAAAAACGGTCGCAGAGCCGCGATTTTGGCATCATCGTGCTCGCCTCGCTCAGGCGGGTCGAATGGTATACTTTTTGTTCGGGTAAGGCCCATTTAAGGTGCTCACCTCGGGTCAAGGTCAGGCCAGTGCCCCTGAGTCCATTGGTGATTTTTCCGGCTCGCTAGGTCCACTTGACCGAGATTTATTTACGAAAAACCCTTATGACCCAAGTGACGCCATAAATAATAAAAATGTGGGGGGGGGGACGGCAATCAACACCTAATAGTTGTTTTTTTTTGCCGGAAACGGGGCGATAGAGAGCTGAAACTTGTGTTACGTGACCTTTGATCCAAGCCGCATTTTGTGACACCAACTGCATTTTCGGGTCACATCAGATCACTGACTTATAACGTCATAATTGAACCTCTGCACGGTCGTCAGATGTCGTAACTTCACAACGCTCTAAGTGCCAGAGGAGCTTTCACAGGGGGATGGAACTTACAGGACCTATGTAGTATCCTCCAGAGGTCTCACATCTTGTATATCGGATCTTTTTTTTTAACACTCGCTCCGACGGGGGTCTGCGCCAACTTCGTACCGACGGGGGGGGGGGGGCGGATGACCGCCTACCCCCCCCCCCCCCTGAGATCTCGAGAACGAAGCAAGATAGCGAGTAGCGACAAGCGGTAAACGGCATCGGATACGTACGGACAAGGTTTACAATTTTTACCAAGGTCATTTTCAGGTCAGGTCAAAGATGACGTTACAAGGGTCAAAGTCAAAATGGCGGCGCTAGATATGGATAGTTTTTCTCGAATAACTTTCCAATTAGACAAGATAGGAACAAACTAAGGGCACCATCGTGATCCTCTCGTCAATCCGCATCGAATGATATATATGTTGACCTCGAAAGGTCAAGGTCAAAGGTTGACCTCAGGTCACGTGACCTCAAGGTCATCGTCATCATGTATATCATTCGATGCGTCTTGACAAGCTGAACACAATGAGACCATCCGCGCGGCTGTATCTTGTTCCTATACGGAGTTATTGGCAAAAAACCGCTGGTGACCTTTGATGACGTCACATGACCTTACAGCTGCCCAACAGCAAAACTGACCTCAAGGTAGTGAAGGTTGATCGTTTATTAAGTCGTGCATGGTGGTATATGGGGCCATTCCGACCCATTTTAGTGGTAAAAACAGGGAGTTGGTTTTTCCCCCATTGACTTTTAATGGGGAGGTCGCGAAATTGACCTGACCTTAGGTCACCGATATAAAAATTCTGAGATGTACAAACTGTAGCTACTAATGACCTTATAACATCCTGCGACATTCAAAGGCCTCCAACATCTACTGTAGCTCTGGCACGGTGACAAAGTTGCAAAAAGGTGACTTGAGGTTGGGTCATTCAAAGTGACCTGGTGACCTGACCTTAAAAGTTAGGAGGTTCAAACTTGCACACCATGTGTAAAATTAATAAGAAAATAGTCGTACCAAATTTCGTAGCGCCGCGGTTTTCCCGCTATTCGCGAAAAACCTCAGGGGGGGCGGATATCCGCCCCCCCCCCGTCGGTGCGCGTGTTAAGGTCACATGAGTTCAGGTCGGTCACAAGACCTCACCATTAGCTGAGTCAATGTCAATAAGTCAATGGGGAAAAATTAAAACTGCTATTTTGGCGCCGGGAACGATGTCACATTAACTTTACCCGCGCCCCAGTGACAGTTTCAGCAAACTTCGCCCTAGTGGGGGGGGGGGGGAAATGTTACCACCCACCTCTATCTCAAAAACTAAGAGGGCTAGAAAGACGCGGTAAAAAGCAGTCGACAGCTCTCAATGCGTACGTTTGAAAGTATTTCAGTCATTTTTCATCTTAGAGCAAAATTGGGGTCACCAAAACCGCGGCGGCGCGAAAAACGCAAAAAACGCGACAGGGTGGTATGCCCCCCCCCCCCCCCACTGTGGCGAAGGTTAACCACATGGAATCGTGATTTCATGCACTCCTTGCAAGTTGCAATGTTTCACTTTTGTATTGTTGACCTTGTGTGACGTCATTTATGACGTCACTAGGGTCATAATAGTTTTTCGTCAATAACTCCTGATCAAATTGAGCTAGCGAGCCGGGACAGCCACCAATGGCATCAGAAAGACCTGCCGAATCGAATGATATGCAAAATATATTCGACCAACTTCGTTACCTGGGACTCTGACCTGACCATGACCTTAGGTCAACACCACAAGTTGACCTTGCCCGAACAAAAAGTATACCATTCGACGCGCCTGAGCAAGGCGAACACGATGATGCCAAAATCGCAGCTCTGCGGCCGTTTTTTGCGAAGGTTTTGGCCAAAAACCGAGCCTTGGGCCACTTGACCTCAGAGGTCACCGGTTGACCTGAGACCTTAACCCTCGCCGGCACAGGCCATTTTGCGTCCTTCGACGGCACGAGGGGGGTTGGTTGGTAAGACCCCCTCCTCGCGTTTGGCCCCTGATCGAGCTAGAGCTTCGAGGAAAAAAAAACGAGCGTGTTGCCCGTCACGAGAGTAAACCGATGATATCCAATTGTAACCCTCGCCGGCACAGGGGGGGGGGGTGATGCAACCCCCCTTAAGGTTTTTCGCGAATAACTCGCGTAAAATGCGGCCGATCGCGACGAAACTTTCAGTACCCTCGCATTGATCAATTTTACACCTACCCTGAAAATTTCATGACCCTGACCCAAATGACCTTTGACCTGTGATCTCTTTTCCGAGACCATGTTTGGCCGGAATCGCGATTCGGCGTATGTCGGCTCGCATTTGCCGCGCGTTAACCCGCGCCCCACTGGGGGGGGGGGGCTATTTATAGCCCCCCCTCCCGTTTTTCTGCAATAACTTACAAACCGCTTGACGTATCGACGCCAAACTTTCCGTACCTCAGGCTGCATCAATTTGACACCTTGTGTCAAAATTTGAACTTCGTATATACTATAGGTCGGCCGGAAATGACGTCAGAGTGACGTCATGTTCGGCCGATTTCGACGCAAAACATGGAACCACGGCAATCGCTCCCAAGAGCTCAGTTTTTAAGCTAGATCCAATTTCTTTGCATGAGAGGACTCAGAATAGACTGCGCTATCAAACTGCTATCTCGGATTTTCCAAATCTTGAAAATTTGGAAAATTTAATATAATAAAATCCAAAATTTATATTTTTACATTTTTTTCAAAAAGTTTTTGACTTTTCGGAAAAGCCGGAATATCTGTGATTGAACCCATTATTATGACTAACTCTAGCAAGTTTTAGCTAAATATCTTCAAAAATGGCCAAGTCTTACGCATTATTGCAAAAAATTAACAATTATTAACCCTCGCCCGTAAACGGTGTTTTGCCACCTTCGCCCATGCAGGGGGGGGGGGGCTGGTGCGACCCCCCCTGGCGTTTGAAAACGAAGCGAAGCGAGCTTAGCGGAAAAGACCAACGGATTTCTCTTAACCTTCGCCCTGGTGGGGGGGGGCCATTTTGGCCCCCCCCTGTGGTTTTTCAGCGATAACTCAGAAACCACTTGAGTTAGCGCCCTGAAACTTTGTATAGCTGTTTATTCAACATTTTTACATCATGTCCTTTTTTTGGGGGTTCGGGTCAGGTCAGGTCAGGTCACAAGGTCACCAAAACTGACACCACCTCTAAAAAAGTTCAAAGCTCTCTCAAAGGCACAGCTTTTATCCGATCGATGTAAAATTTACAGTACTTGAAGATGTCACCCAGCTCTACAAAATGGCTATCTCGGATTTTTTATAAATGTGACCTAAGGTCAGGTCAGGTCATCGCTGCTCCCCATTATAAGTCAATGGGAGAATCGAAAAGTAGTTGTTTTTCAGCTAAATCGGGCGTGATTGTTCCTATATTTCGTTATTGAAGTGTCTTGGGTCAGCAAATCACAGCCCATGTGAAACCATTTGCTTGTGACCTCGCTGAGGTCACGCTAGGTCATCTCCCTGGTCACCAGAGGTCACCAGCGGTTTTTCTGCACTTACTTGTTATTGAATAGAGATAGAGACTCCGTTCGACGTTTATCGTGTTTGTCTCGTCAATGCGGATCGAATGATATGCAGCATGACCTATTTCGGTAAGGTCATGACCTTGACCTGAGGTCAAATTTTCAAAATGACCTTTCGAGGTCAAACTATATATCATTCGACGCGTCTCGACGAGCCAAGCACGATGGTGCATGAATCGTTTCTCTATTTTCTCGTGAATGCATGCTATAGTTAAAAACATTTTCAACGAAATTTGCCAAGTTGACCTTGCATGACCTCTGTAGGCCAAACCGTTGAGCTGAGGTCAAATCTGACGAACCTTGGC